AAGGATGAGTACTGTAGACGGAGGGATTTGCTTTCTCTGGACTGGCAAATGCCTGAAATTACTCCCGGGGCCTTTCCTCGGGACTTGTCTCCTGGCTTTCGGGGATGTGTCGCAGCCTCTCTCTGTTTGGGTCCAGGGCCCATCCTCTTGTGCAGAGTCCGACGTTGCTCCAACACGGTCCTCTCCTGCGTGGCCCGGGAAACCCTCGTGTGCCTACCGCTCTGGTAGGACCTGCTGATCCCAAAGAGCGGCCTGGCCCCCTCCACCTGCAGGGCCGGACACGCCTCACTGCAGACCCCAACTCCAGCCCATGACCAAGCCCTCCGGGGAGCTCCGTGAAGCCCCTTCCCTCTGCTCAAGGTGCGGGGGGGGGCACCCCGGCTCTCCCTCCCCAGAAGAGTGGTCCTCACAACCGTCCATCCAGAAGAGTGTTTCTCAACAACGCTCTCATCTCCAACACGCTGACCCTCTTTTCCCGGGTGGTGGGTGAGCAATCTGGCTACGGGACCCGACTGAGATCCCCGCGGGGCCCTCTGTCTCGCTCCTGCCTTTGGTGCCTGCACTGATCTTATCTTGGACTCTCAGCTGAAACTGCCTTTAACTGCTTTATTTGATTACATCACGGGTGTGCACGAGTTTTATTGATCTCTTCCACTATTAATGGACGTACTAGGAATGTTTTCTGTTTTTTGCAAGTGATGCTGCAAAACATCTTTATACTTATCTCCTGATGCTAGAGTTTCTCAAGGGGATATGCCCTGAAATGAAATTCCTGAATTGTATGCACACTTTTAATTTTACTATTATAGCTCCACGTAATTTTTATATTTACTTTACAATTTTTATTGCCAATATTTTCTCCATGGGGAGTGTACCAGTTATACTCCCATTGTGAGCAAATAAAAATACCACTTCCTCTCACCAGCTCTTGATCTATTTAAATCTCAATTTATCCTAAGTTTGGGGAGGGGAGTGAAAATGAATTGTTTTAATTAATTTTCATTTCCTTGATTTCTAGCAAAATCAAGCATCTTTTCATATGTATATTTGTTATAAAAATAACTTCTCCTATGAATTGCCCAACCTGTCTGCCCATTTTTCCATTGGGTTAACTCTTTTTTCCTGTATAGGAGCTCTTATTTTTTAAATAATTAAAAAAATTTTTAATTGAAGTAAAAAACACATAACAAAATTTACCATCTTAACCATTTTAAAAAATATATCTTTATCGATTTCAGAGAGGGGAGGAGAGAGAGAAACATCAATGATGAGAGTCATTGATCCATTGCCTCCTGCACGCCCCCTGCTGGGGATGGAGCCCACAACCCGGGCATGTGCCCTGACTGGGAATCGAACCTCGATCTCTTGGATCCTAGGGCGATGCTCAAACCCTGAACCACACCAGCCGGACCATCTTAGCCATTTCTAAGTGGACAGTTCAGCAGTGGGAGCACAGGCACATGACTGTGCAACAGATCTCCAGAACTCTTTCACCTTGCTCAGATCCGGGTGCGAATCCATTCTCCATCATAGATGTTGCAAAATTCAGAGTCTCTTGTTTAAGAAATTTTTTTGTCATATAAAAATTTAAATTTTGACATAATTGAATTTATCTTTTTTAGTTTGTGATTTGGGGGCTGTGTTAAAAAAAAATCCTTCCCTGGCTCATACATATATGTATTATTGATTGGATGTTTGTGTTACCCCCAAATCAATATGCTGAGGTGGGCCCTTTGGAAGGTGATGAGGGGATAGGGTGGACCCCTTATGAATGCAATTAGTGTCCTTATAAAATAGGCCCAAAAGAGCTCTCCTGTTGCTTTGGCCATGTGAGGTCACAGCAAGAAGACATCTTTCTATGAACAGGGAAGCAGGTTCTCACCACACACAGAATGTGCCACTACCTTGATCTTGGACTTTCCAACCTCCAGACTGTAAGAAATAAATGTCTGTTGTTCTAAGACACCCAGTCTACTATTCTGCTTTTTGTAAAAGGAATAAAATACTCTCTCTCATCATTGATGTTTATCTCTCTCTCTCTCCCTCTCCCTTCCTCTCTCTGAAATCAATAAAGATATATTTAAATAAATAAATAAAAGAAAACTGTGGTAAAATACACATAACATTTGGAAGAGTACAGTTCAGTGGTATTAAGTAATTCATAATGTTGCGTAACCATTACCACCATCAATCTCCAGAGATTTCTCACCTTCCCAAACTGAAACTCTGCCCCCATTAATCAATAACTCCCCACCCTCCCACCTCCAGCCCCTGGTACCCATGATTCTTTCCATCTCTATGATTCTGACTGCCTCCTATAAGCCTTTTTACACTTGCTCCGTCAGTGGGACTTTTATTGCACCTTTTATGGCAAGCTGCCTCAGATCCTGTTTTTGAAGAAAGCTTGGTGTAAACAAATAAAATCAGGATGGTAATAATCAGGCACCAGAGAAACACAGAGAAAGCCTAGGACGGACTTCCCCTACCCCTCCATCAAGCGAGTGTGGCCAAGGAGGAAAAATGAAACGCATGAGGAATATCGTGAGACACTTAGGTCTCTAGCGTGTGTTGGAGATTTAGATCCCACGAGGCTGGGCCTGTGGGGTAGCAAGGAGCTATACTTCCACTGGAGTAAAAAAGTCAAATCACACAGGGGCACCTGGATTTGAACCCAGGACCTCTTGACTGGCAGTCAAATGCCCTACCCCTGAGCTATACCCCCAGGCTCTGTCCTGCCTGAATCAGATACCTTCATAACCGCAGTCTTTCCCGAGCTCTGCTCGCACCCCTGTGGGCTCCCTGGGGAGCTGTGTGCGCTGATGCCCTGGGCACCCACCTCCACGCCTGCCAGGAGTTGCTCCCTTCCCTCAGGGGCTGTGCCCGTGTTCATCTCAGCACCGTCTCCTCACCCCCTCCCTTACTATGATTATTGTTACGATTATTACTGGGTACAGGAGGAATTCTACCCATTCTCTTAATATCTGAGGGTGGTTTTTTTTTCATTCCCTTTTTCTCCATCTCCCACTGTTTTGGTTTCCTCCCCCAGGAGCCAAGGCCTGGGGACCTATCCAAGGCTCTCAGTAGCGTGGCTCACCCTAGGGCACGCACCTGGCCAAGAAAACCACAGCCCCAACTTTTTGGAGGAAGAAGACTGGGCAGGACTAAACCCAGATGTCAGCATCACTAGAGGGCCTGGGCCTGGGCACTGAGCCTCCTTGCTCCGGATCTGAGAGCCCCTGCTTTGCGCCAGTACATTTTCTAACAAGGAGCCGTCGTTTCCTTTGTTTGAACCTTGGTCATGCTGCTCCGTAGTATTGGGAAAGATTTTCCACTATTTCATTTAGAATATTCTGAAGTGAGATTGACCTACCCCGATAGAGGGGGCAGTTCTTTGGTCCAAGGCATCCGAGGGGCTGTGTCCCCGCTAGAACTTCCACACGAGCCCTCGAGGTTCTTTTGTGGGAGAATGTAAGTTTGTCAAGCTTCCGAGAACCTGCAAGGCGCGGTATGTGGCAGTCTGTCTTTCCTAAAAGAAAAACAACGGAGTTAAGGGTGTTGTTGGCCAGTGGATGATTTTTTCCAGGATTATAAACTCTTCGATGAACATGAACGTACATCTCGGCCCAGTCTCAGACTACGTCCCTAGGATGGATTCCTAGGATGGCGCCAAGGCCACTGCATCTCAACTGTGGCTCAGGGCCGCAATTCTCAGCCGTAACTCGGTCCCTTCACTCTGCCCCTCCTTGGAGCGTTAACCATTGGCTTCAGAAAAGCATCCAAAAACCCTGAACTGGCAGCCCCATCAAGGTATGGAGCTTGGCTCCCAACTCGCCGCCCCAGACCCTGAATCTGCAGATGCAACGGTGGGATCTGACCTGGCTCTCGCCACCTCCCTAACCAGACTCCCCAAGGCCCCCCAGAAGCCAGGACGCCCTCCGGGTTACCTGGGAAACCGCATGAGCTGTCAGAAGGTTGCTTAGTGAGGCTGCGACCAGGGCAAATGGAATCTAATGCTCGTGAGGGCGTTTTCTCAGGCCAGGGAGACTTTCTATGAATGATTCCTGCTCCAAAGTGCTCTGTTCTTGGAGGCCAGAAGGCTCGCACGCACCGAGCTGGGAATGCCCAGGTCCTCTGTCCCCACCGGACCCGAGTCCCGCGCTCCATCCAGTGTCTCAGCTCTGTGACCTGCTGCCTGTATACAGATCTTAGTCCATCAACTGAGAGGTAGAAGGTATAGGACTTAATTTGTCTACAAAACAACTGGATCTCTGATCTGTGTCCCATCCTGCTAAGTGGCAGAAATTGAATGATTCAACCCCGGGAGCCCCCCCCCCCGGCGCCCCGTTTCCCGTGTTGCAGCTGAGTTCTGGAGGTTTCAGGTACCGCAGCTGGTGGGCACCTGGTTCCCACCTCGTCTCGATCCCATTGTGAGCGCGGGACCTTCTGATCTCAGGCCGGTGCCCTCTGCAGCTCCCGCTCAGTTCCCGGCACCGGCAGCCGCGCCTACGCAGCGAGGGGATAGCCCCTGTGGTTGTCCCTTTCTGGGACATCGTTTTCTGCTCTGTCGGCATTTGAATGCTGAGCACTGACAATGTGCCTCCTATAGGGAGGAGGCTCATCCGGCTGGGTGGGGGCGGGCTGGACAGCAGGAAATCTTGGTGACTGTCTCCATTATGGCCCCCCACCCGAGCCGTAGGGAGACCCCCCCCC